ATGGAGCAAAGTACAGACAGATCCTTGAGGAAAACCTGCTCCAGAGCGCTCAGACTGGGGCGAAGGTTTACCTTCCAACAGGACAACTACTCTAAGCACACAGCCAAGACAACACAGGAGTGGCTTCGGGACAAGTCTCAATGTCCTTGAGTGGCCCAGCCAGAGCCCGGACCTGAACCCGATCTAACTTCTCTGGAGATACCTGAAAATAGCTGTGCAGCGACGCTCCCCGTCCAACCTGACAGAGCTTGAGAGGATCTGCAGAGAAGAATGGGAGAACCCCCCCCAAATACAGGTGTGCCAAGCTTGTAGCGTCATACCCAAGAAGACTCGAGGCTGTAATCGCTGCCAAAGGTGCTTCAACAAAGTACTGAGTAAAGGGTCTGAATACTTATGTAAATGTGATATTTTAGTTATTTATTTTTATAAATGTGCACAAATGTCTAAAAACCAGGTTTTGCTTTGTCATTATGGGGTATTGTGCGTAGATTGATGAGGGAAAAAAACAATTTCATCCATTTTAGAATAAGGCTGTAACGTAACACAATGTAGAAAAAGTAAAGTGGTCTGAATACTTTCTGAATGCCCTGCATATTCACTTACTCAAAAAGACAGCCAAAAGTTAGTTGAATTTCCAATGTGTTATCACTATGCTTTCAACCATCTAAAAGCACAACCAAATTCCAATGGAAAAACAATGTCTGATTATTGGTTTAGTTGTCATCCAAATGTCTATCACTGCGCTTTCAACCCTTTAAAAGCACAGCAAAGTTCAAATGGTAATACAATGTCAGATATTTTGTTTATTTATACAACAGATTAATTTGTTATCACTGTGCTTCATTTTATAGCAGAACCAACTGACCTGGATTACATTAAAAGTGCATGGTGCAAGTGATCAATGGCAGTCAAGATTCTGAGCAGATTATTACAGTAATTGTGAGGATCTCCACAGACCTGTGACGACCTATGTATGCTATCTTGAACGTGCACATTTTATATAATTACATAAGAAGAAATGTATCGTTACAGTAACCTCAAAAATGTGGTCAGGGATGTGTGACTCATTTTAAGGTTGAATTTTACATTTGTTTGTAAAATACTTTAGGCTATTTACTGTATTACAAAAGTAATATTGAATTGTGTTTGGTTGACAACACAACGGATTATCAACATTTAAAGGAGATGTATCTACTGCTTGGATAGTTCCATCTAAGACACTGGCTTAATCCTATTCTTTAACTTTTATTTTTGGTTGTGTTGGAGACGTGAATCCAACATATCATTTGTTAACTTGTCGACAAGTTAATAGGCTATTTATTGTATTTCTAAAGTGATATTAATTGTATTGGTTGTCAACTCAACCAAACATCAACATTTGAGGGAGATTTATCTTCTGCTTGGATAGTTCCATCTGTGCCACTGATTTAGTCTGGCTTTAATTCCAGTTGGTTTACAAATTAAGTCTCCATCTCAACATAAAAGCTAAATCAAATCAAACTTTAAATGCACTTGGCAATATGCAACTTTTTGGGTAACGCAACCAAATTCACATAGAAATGTGAGTTATAGATGTATCATTCAACTTGAAAGCAAGTCTAAAGCAGTAGATCTGTTCTATATAAGCTATTTCTATGCTTCCCATTCTTAAGTTTGTTTTTGCGTCTTTTACTTTCAGTTTTGTACACCAGCTTCAAACAGCTGAAAATACAATATTTTTGGTTATGGAAAATATATTTCACAGCGGTTTAGATGGTACAATGATTCTCTACACTATACTATCTTATTTTGTCACATAAACTGAAATTAGGCGAACTATTCGAGTTTTTGCAACCAGGAAATGGAGGAGCGATTTCTGCATAGTGCAACTTTAAATAAAGTTTGATTTGATTTAGTCTTATTCTTTAACTTAGATTTTTGTTTGGATGGAGGTATGAATCCAACATATCAATTAATCATTTGTAGACAAACTGGAATTAAAGCCAGAGTAAGTCAGTGGCACAGATGGAACTATCCAAGCAGAAGATACATCTCCTTCAAATGTTGATATTTGGTTGCGTTGACAACCAAACACAATTCAATATCACTAAATATCATTACATTTAAATCAGCCAGCGCCTGAAACCCTAGGCCTATTGTATTGTCTTTTTTGTTGGATTTGGTGTTGAATTGAAACAATAGCTGTTGATGACTTTGCAAATGCTATATAGCTAGGCCTAAATAGCATGATTGATGATATACAGTGCTGTGACGAGTACTGAGGATACGAAGAGTCAGGACGCAGATGCAGGAATCAACAATGTAAAGGTTTACTTAACACTGAGCAAGCGAACAACAAAGAGCGAGGACATGACACTAACAATCACAACACTGAACAGTCCAGGGCTATATAGGGGTGGTGATGAGATGATGAGGTGCAGGTGCGCTGGAGGTGATTAGGGTGCGTTGGGGTTCCATTCCGGTGTTGCCGAGGTGGTGCGCTCAGACCGGTGGCTCAGTAGACCGGCGAATCAGAGTGCCGGAGGGGAGCAACGGGAGAAGACATGACAAGTGCCTTCAGAAAGTATTCACACCTCTTGACTTTTTCCACATTTTGTTGTGTTACAGCCTGAATTTAAAATGGATTAAATTGCGATTTTTTTTGTCACTGGCCTCCACACAATACCCCATAATGTCAAAGTGGAATTATGTTTTTCAAAGTATTCAACCCGTTTGTTATGGCAAGCTAAATAAGTTCAGGAGTACAAATTTGCTTAACAAGTCACAAAATAAGTTGCATGGACTCTGTGTGCAATAATAGTGTTTAACATGATTTTTGGATGACTACCTCATCTCTGTACCCCACATATACAATTATCTGTAAGGTCCCTCAGTCGAGCAGTGAACAACCACCAAGACCAGGGAGGTATTCCAATGACTCGCAAAGAAGGGCACCTATTGGTAGATGGGTAAAAAAAAAAAAAGCAGACATTGAATATCCCTTTGAGCATAGTGAAGTTATTAATTACACTTTGGATGGTGTGTCAATACACCCAGTCACTACAAAGATACAGGTGTCCTTTCTAACTCAGTTGCCGGAGAGGAAGGAAACCAGTCAGGGATTTCAACATCAGGCCAATGGTGACTTTAAAACAGTTACAGAGTTTAATGTCTGTGTTACTCTACAATACTAACCTAATTGACAGATTGAAAATAAGGAAGCTTGTACAGAATAAAAACATTCCAAAACATGCATCCTGTTTGCAATAAGTAAAGTACAGTAATACAGCAAAGAATGTGGCAAAACAATATATTTTGGTCCTGAATACAAAGTCTTATGTTTGGGGCAAATCCAACACAACACATTACTGAGTATCACTCTCCATATTTTCAAGAATAGTGGTGGCTGCATAATGTTATGGGTAATGCTTGTAATCGTTAAGGACTGGGGAGTTTTTCAGGATAAAAAATAAACGGAATGGAGCTAAGCACAGGCATAATCCTAGAGAAAGACCTGGTTCAGTCTGCCTTCCACCAGCCACTGGGAGATGAATTCACCTTTCAGCAGGACAATAACCTAAAACACAAGGTCAAATCTACACTGAAGTTGCTTACCAAGAAGACAGTGAATGTTCCTGAGTGGCAGAGTTACAGTTTTGACTTAAATCTACTTGAAAAATCTATGGCAAGACCTGAAAATGGTTGTCTAGCAATGATCAACAACCAATTTGACAGAGCTTGATTTTTTTTTTAAACATAATGGGCAAATGTTGCACAATCCAGGTGTGGAAATCTCTTAGAGACTTACCCAGAAACACTCACAGCTGTAATCTCTGCCAAAGATGCTTCTCTGCATTTCATTTTCAATAAATTAGCAACAATTTCTACAAACATGTTTTCACTTTGTCATTATGGGGTATTACGTATAGATGGCTGAGAAAAAAAATCGATTTAATCCATTTTTAATTCAGGCTGTAACACAACAAAATGTGGAATAAGTCAAGGGGTATGAATACTTTCTCAAGAGACAGTATGAGTGATAAAGTATGGTCACATTTCATTTGCTCTGTTAAACCTACCCTTTGGAAAGACTCCGATAGCAACAGTGAATCGATTTAGTTTTTTACCCCTTTTTCTCCCGAATTTCGTGATACGATCTTGTCTCATCGCTGCATCGGACTCGGGAGAGGTGAAGGTCGAGAGTCATGCGTCCTCTGAAACATGACCTGCCAAGCCGCATTGCTTCTTAACACACTCCTCAGTTAACCCGGAAGCCAGACGCACCAATGTGTCGGAGGAAACACTGTCCAACTGACAATCAAAGTCAGCTTGCAGGCGCCCGGCCCGCCACAAGGAGTAGCTAGAGCACGATGAGCCAAGGAAATCCCCCCGGCCAAACCCTCCCCTAACGACACTGGGCCAATTGTGCACCACCCCATGGGGCTCCCGGTCATGGCCGGCTGTGACACATACTGGGATCGAACCCGAGGCTATAGTGGCACCTTAGCACTGCGATGCACAATAGCACATTGGTAATAGTCAGTGAAAAAGATCATAGCTGGGCTGTGCTTGGTTAAAACCCTGGATGGGAGACTGAAGGGTAGCTGTAGATAAATCAATTCTCCAGTAGGAGGTGCTGCCCAGCCTATATATTTTTTTTCTGATAGTGGCTATAACGTTGAAGATCTGACATTGTTTTAAAGGTACAAATTCTACATATTTTATGCAAGGTTTGTCTATGTTGAAATTTGGTTAACATGATGACAATCATGTGGTTGAAATTTCACCCTCAAAACAACAGTTTAGGTTGAAGACTTTTTTCAAATCCAATGTATTTTCCACATGGATTCCACTACACAATACGTTGACAAATTACGTTAAAACAACATTGATTCAACCAGTTTGTGCCCAGTGGGAAGCTTGCTAACTTCAGCTCATAAATTCACTTAACTGAGGTTTAACTTGCCAATTAGCGGACTAGTTTTGTAATTCGTAGAATCATCACCAGTCAGATTACCTGTTTAATGGCGCGTGCCCTTGGCTCTCTTTGTCTTGACTTTGCAGCTGCTGAAGACAGTGCTGTCTCTGATCTGCTTTCCTCTCTGCGAGGATGGAGATGCACAGAGCGCATCAGGGCGCTGGCGGCTAGAGTCCATCCACCTAGTGGGGGGGGGGGAACAGAGAGAATTAGACACAGGATCTTGGAAAAGGAGGGGACATTTTCCAATTACTGGAGGAAAAGGGTCTATTGAACTAGTCTTGTATGGTTCTCTTGTATGTGTGGTTTTCCACCTCAGTATTGTCTATGGTTTGTGTTAGTTTCATACAGATCACCTACATGCTGTAAGGTGAGGTATCCTGGTGTGCCAGACTGTGTGGTACAATAGCAAACCAAAGTACAGCTTGCTAGCAAAATGGCTACAACGTTTGGCTTGTTAGCCAGGTTAAATATGAGCTCCTTACTTGCGCAGAGGGGCAAGCGTGCAGGTGCAGCTCCAGGGGTTGTTGGAGAGCGTGAGGTTGGTGATGGTGGTGAACTCCAGGCTCTTGGGGAGGGACTTGAGCTTGTTGTTGTCCAGGTGCAGAGACTTGATGGCCGTCACTCCATTGAACGCAGCGTCAGAGAACTGGAGGCAGAGATACAGACATAGTATAGGAGGCTTTTTAGTTTCATTAGAAGATGTAGACTTTGACAAGAGAGATTCAAACCATGTCATAACCAAGAACAGTCTTGTCCTTCAAATCCAAAAGTAGTTAATTGTACGTATAATAGCTTCCTGTGGCTGATTGAAATCCCTGAATTCTGAAAACCATGAATTCAACTATTGAAGTCCCTAAAATCAACCAATATATCAGGTAGATCTCCCCTTTCATTTAGCAGACGCTCTTATCCAAAGGGACTAACAGTAGTGAGTGCATAAATTTTCGTACTGGTCCCCCATGGGAATCGAACCCACAACCCCGGTATTGCAAACGCCATGCTCTACCAACTGAGCCTCTCTCACAGGGCAGTGAGGGCACACCAAGCCTGGTGATAGATGGATGTAGAATCTGTTCTACCCTTGCAGTTAGACCTCATCCTTAATCTCTGTCAGAGGGTAGACAGAGATGTTTGGTAGAGGGAATCCTTTTTTTTTCCTACAGCAGTCACTCTGTCATGAAAGCCTCCACTCATAACTGGTTCCTGCAGCGTTGCTTATGTAAACTGGACTGTCTCACCCCTCCCTTCTCCTAAACTTCATATGCGTTTGTGAGGCCGCTAAAAACTTCACAGAGGTGCAAGATGAACTGATGCTCACCATGTCAAGTTTGGCTCTTAGCCTTTTAGCAGGAGGAGAGAGGGAAGGAAGGAGGTCCGGGGGCAGCCGTGAGAGGAGGGTGGACTTTGCTTTGGGTGGATGAGTTATGTGTGTCTATAAGAGATGAAGCTATTGATTGAGGCGTCTTTTGGGAAATTTCCACTGCGGAGGGTCGCGAGCACCGAGGTGGATGCTTCTGGTAATTTGAGGCAATCCTCTCTCTCTATCTCTCTCTCGCTCTCGCTCTCTCTCTCTCAGAGCCACTCCTCTGCCAGGAAGACTTGTAAAAGGCCCAATTGTCCATTCAACTGAGGGGCGATGTGCAAGCTAAAAATACCCGTCCTTCATGGGCCAAGGAACACCCTGCCTCTATTTACCTGTCTCCTAACCCTTACTGACCTGTTTGCAGGACCCTCCTGCCGAAGTGAAAAAACGCACAGAGCTGAAAATAACACTTGTGTAATAATTAGGCTGGGACATGCTTGGATACGGCCTAGCAAACAAAAACACCCTAAAAATACCCACGTGCCCCCCCTCCCCGCCACCCCAAAACCTCGACATCTCCCGCTGCTTTCCCCTCACTCTAACTCACAGGTACAGTCTGCCTGAGAGATGCTTGTTATTTTACAATTTCCCCTGTGGGATGTCTCCATACTGTAGCATGGATACACTCAAATATTGGATTAACTTCTAGTATTGAATAAACGTTAAGTTTGGAATGTATGGGGAGCAGCAAGGTAGCCCCTCCATCAGTATATGGAGTTATAACGGGCACTGTGTTCACTGGGAATTAGGCAGAAAAGCTCTCATCTGAGTCTCTTATCTGTGATAAGTGTCCCGAGGCCTTCCCCGCTCTCCACTCAGGCCTTGATTGGGGTTGGTCAGCCGAGGGAGATAGCGATCATTCAACCTTGTTACATTTTACATTGTTACGCTCTGGGTTACGAGGTGAAGGGTTGGCTGTGTTATCTCTAGATAGGAAACAATTTCCAGTACTACCTGGACTGTACCTGCTGTTGTTCCATGAACTCTTTAGCCTTGGGGTGTCTGTATGATAATTCAAACTCCTCTGCCATAGATTGGAGCGATTATAGGGACATCTATGCATCACACTATTTGTAAATAGTGACCCCCTAAAGGATGGAAACTAGACAGATCTTAAAATCCTCTTCAGACTGCACCACTTAAGTGTAATGAGGCGGTCACCCACCTCAAACACCAACGTGAACCTCAGGAATGATCAAACACTGCGTCAACACCGCCCCCTCACTGTATGGTCAAGGATATCTTGGGCTGTCCCCGTAAGACGGTGTGTTTGGGTTTACAGTACGTGCTGAAGCTGAAGAGTGTGGTCCATACCAGCAGTTTGTTATGATGCTACTAAGTGATTGTTTGGAATCTCCCAATTGGGAAGACATGTATGTGCTGCCCATATCATTCCCATGTATTTCCTTAATGTAAAGAGCAAGGACCTCAGCCCTCCCCAACTCCACTTCTTGTCCTCACAAAGCTAGATTGGACATGAATCCAATCTTCAACACCAACTGTCCACCAACCAACTACATATGGTAATGAAGCTACACAATACTAAAACACCAATGCTCTCTACTACTGTGCAAAACTCCAGACCCCCACAATCTCAGATGCAGAGTAAACTAAAACTGAAACTGAAACTAAAACGAAAACTAATCATAAAAAAAACGATTTAGTAAACTGAAAGAAAATAATTAACAAACCCATTTGAAAAACTGAAACTCCAAAATAAAATAAAAACCATCATGACTTATGTTCAATTTTAGTTTTTTTTGTAGACCTAATGGGGTTTTCAAGCTACTGAATCTGGACGGGTAAATATGGTTGGGAGATGGTGATGTTTTAAATAGGCCTAGCTTGTGCATCACTATCACTAGCTATCACTAGCTAACATGGAAAAAATCAGCTAGGTAGCTAACTTGATTCTTCTTACATGCACTACAAAGTTAAAACGCATACGATTGGTGTAAACATGGGCGAGAGAGAGTTTCCTTTCACCATATTTTCTGCACCAGTCTCGGCGCTAATCCTTTTAAATCCAAGTCACATTAAGATTGACTTTATTTTTAAACCTATACTAGGGCGCTATTCAACAGATTCCGCGATTTATATTTGAAGGTAATTTCCAATTGAGCTGACATGTGCAGCGTTTACCGTGAATGCAGTCTCCGCTAAATTAGAAACAATTCCTTAAAATTTGTATCACGCTGTAAAACTGATCTTCTGCGATGTGGATTTAATAGAGTCCCTAACTTATGACCTGACCCATCACCTTATGTATTACTGCCCCCCAGTTGCAAGATGTGACACCCCCCCCCCCACCCCCTCCAACAAAAAAAAACTATACAACACAAATGGCTCCTAGCCTCCCACGCATGCTTTCTGTCCAACACTTAAACTACAACTGCAACTACAGTGGGGAAAAAAAGTATTTAGTCAGCCACCAATTGTGCAAGTTCTCCCACTTAAAAAGATGAGAGAGGCCTGTAATTTTCATCATAGGTACACGTCAACTATGACAGACAAAATGAGTAAAAAAATTCCAGAAAATCACATTGTAGGATGTTTAATGAATTTATTTGCAAATTATGGTGGAAAATAAGTATTTGGTCAATAACAAAAGTTTCTCAATACTTTGTTATATACCCTTTGTTGGCAATGACACAGGTCAAACGTTTTCTGTAAGTCTTCACAAGGTTTTCACACACTGTTGCTGGTATTTTGGCCCATTCCTCCATGCAGATCTCCTCTAGAGCAGTGATGTTTTGGGGCTGTTGCTGGGCAACACAGACTTTCAACTCCCTCCAAAAATGTTCTATGGGGTTGAGATCTGGAGACTGGCTAGGCCACTCCAGGACCTTGAAATGCTTCTTACGAAGCCACTCCTTCGTTGCCCGGGCGGTGTGTTTGGGATCATTGTCATGCTGAAAGACCCAGCCACGTTTCATCTTCAATGCCCTTGCTGATGGAAGTTGGTTTTCACTCAAAATCTCATGATACATGGCCCCATTCATTCTTTCCTTTACACGGATCAGTCGTCCTGGTCCCTTTGCAGAAAAACAGCCCCAAAGCATGATGTTTCCACCCTCATGCTTCACAGTAGGTATGGTGTTCTTTGGATGCAACTCAGCATTTTTTGTCCTCCAAACACGACGAGTTGAGTTTTTACCAAAAAGTTATATTTTGGTTTCATCTGACCATATGACATTCTCCCAATCCTCTTCTGGATCATCCAAATGCACTCTAGCAAACTTCAGACGGGCCTGGACATGTACTGGCTTAAGCAGGGGGACACGTCTGGCACTGCAGGATTTGAGTCCCTGGCGGCGTAGTGTGTTACTGATGGTAGGCTTTGTTACTTTGGTCCCAGCTCTCTGCAGGTCATTCACTAGGTCCCCCCGTGTGGTTCTGGGATTCTTGCTCACCGTTCTTGTGATCATTTTGACCCCACGGGGTGAGATCTTGCGTGGAGCCCCAGATCGAGGGAGATTATCAGTGGTCTTGTATGTCTTCCATTTCCTAATAATTGCTCCCACAGTTGATTTCTTCAAACCAAGCTGCTTACCTATTGCAGATTCAGTCTTCCCGGCCTGGTGCAGGTCTACAATTTTGTTTCTGGTGTCCTTTGACAGCTCTTTGGTCTTGGCCATAGTGGAGTTTGGAGTGTGACTGTTTGAGGTTGTGGACAGGTGTCTTTTATTCTGATAACAAGTTCAAACAGGTGCCATTAATACAGGTAACGAGTGGAGGACAGAGGAGCCTCTTAAATAAGAAGTTACAGGTCTGTGAGAAACAGAAATCTTGCTTGTTTGTAGGTGACCAAATTCTTATTTTCCACCATAATTTGCAAATAAATTCATTAAAAATCCTACAAATGTGATTTTCTGGATTTTTTTCCCTCAATTTGTCTGTCATAGTTGATGTGTACCTATGATGAAAATTACAGGCCTCTCTCATCTTTTTAAGTGGGAGAACTTGCACAATTGGTGGCTGACTAAATAATTTTTTTCCCCACTGTAAATTATATAAAAACTATATTGAAATATTTGTATAAAACTTAAACTAAATAAAAACTAGCAAATCAGATCTGAAAACTAACTGAAACTAAACTGAATTCAAATACAAATCAAAAAATGTAATAGAAATAAAAGCACAAAACTATAATAACCTTGGTGCAGAGATGTATTGCCTTTGAAAGATGCTCTCTTTGCACCACACCATACCGCAAGCAGAGCAATCAGGATCAAAGAACACCAGCTAAGAACACAATCAGCTGTTTTTTATGTTTTTTTATTTTCCAACAGGGAGTCATGCTGGGACCAAGGTCTCTTTCTCAGATGAGCCCTGCATACACATCAATACACATCAATATACACATCAATATTCCCATCAATACACTAAAAGCAAAACACAATCATAGAAAACAAACACATTCTTCAGTAAAAAGGTCCTCAATCAGCCTTTTGAATTCCTCTAGAGGCACCAATTCATCCAATTTTAGAGAGCCTTGTAGAGCAAGGTGCAAAAAAACTAACTGACCTAACTCAATGGAGAGCGAAGGGATCTCCAGAGTTAGCCATCCCTGGGACCGGGTCTGGTATCTCGTACGTCTATAAGTTAACATTGAAGTAAGGTACGGCGGAAGTTTATGCAGGAGGCTTTATAAACAAAAAGAGTGCAATGCATCGATCTACGAGATTTTAAAGAGGGCCAGCCTACTTTCTGATACAGAGTACAGTGATGTGTACTGCACCTATTGCCTGTAATAAAGCGTAGTGCGCTATGATAAACTGCGCCCAATGGCTTCAATACAGTGGCAGCTGCATTCATATAGACAATATCCCCATTGTCTTAAACGGTATGAATATCGGCTGAATGATTTGTTTTCTGCTATTTACATTTACATTACATTTTAGTCATTTAGCAGACGCTCTTATCCAGAGCGACTTACAGTTAGTGAGTGCATACATTATAAATTGTGTTTTTGTTTGTTTTCATACTAGCCCCCCGTGGGAATCGAACCTGGCGTTGCAAACGCCATGCTCTACCAACTGAGCTACATCCCTGCCGGCCATTCCCTCCCCTACCCTGGACGACGCTGGGCCAATTGTGCGCCGCCCCATGGATCTCCCGGTCGCGGCCGGCTACGACAGAGCCTGGATTCGAACCAGGATCTCTAGTGGCACAGCTAGCACTGCGATGCAGTGCCTTAGACCACTGCGCCACTCGGGAGAATAATGAATGAAAGGCATGACCTGTTCGTATAAAATAAGCCCATTTTAATTCTTAATTTCTTAACTAACTCATCAACATGCTTTTTGAAAGATAGCTTTTCGTCAGTCCAGATGCCCAGATATTTACAAGCGGGGACACGATCAATGAGGGCACCATCCAATGTACTTATGCATAAATCATCAGATACATTTTTACGTAATTTGGAGAATAACATACAGTGAGGGAAAAAAGTATTTGATCCCCTGCTGATTTTGTACGTTTGCCCACTGACAACGATAAGATCAGTCTATAATTTTAATGGTAGGTTTATTTGAACAGTGAGAGACAGAATAACAACAAAAAAATCCAGAAAAACGCATGTAAAAAATGTTATAAATTGATTTGCATTTTAATGAGGGAAATAAATATTTGACCCCTCTGCAAAACATGACTTAGTACTTGGTGGCAAAACCCTTGTTGGCAATCACAGAGGTCAGACGTTTCTTGTAGTTGGCCACCAGGTTTGCACACATCTCAGGAGGGATTTTGTCCCACTCCTCTTAGCAGATCTTCTCCAAGTCATTAAGGTTTCGAGGCTGACATTTGGCAACTCGAACCTTCAGCTCCCTCCACAGATTTTCTATGGGATTAAGGTCTGGAGACTGGCTAGGCCACTCCAGGACCTTAATGTGCTTCTTCTTGAGCCACTCCTTTGTTGCCTTGGCCGTGTGTTTTGGGTCATTGTCATGCTGGAATACCCATCCACGACCCATTTTCAATGCCCTGGCTGAGGGAAGGAGGTTCTCATCCAAGATTTGACGGTACATGGCTCTGTCCATCGTCCCTTTGATGCGGTGAATTGTCCTGTCCCCTTAGCAGAAAAACATCCCCAAAGCATAATTGTTTGACGGTGGGGATGGTGTTCTTGGGGTCATAGGCAGCATTCCTCCTCCTCCAAACACGGCGAGTTGAGTTGATGCTAAAGAGCTCGATTTTGGTCTCATCTGACCACAACACTTTCACCCAGTTCTCCTCTGAATCATTCAGATGTTCATTGGCAAACTTCAGACGGGCCTGTATATGTGCATTCTTGAGCAGGGGGACCTTGCGGGCGCTGCAGGATTTCAGTCCTTCACGGCGTAGTGTGTTACCAATTGTTTACTTGGTGACTATGGTCCCAGCTGCCTTGAGATCATTGACAAGATTCTCCTGTGTAGTTCTGGGCTGATTCCTCACCGTTCTCATGATCATTGCAACTCCACGAGGTGAGATCTTGCATGGAGCCCCAGGCCGAGGGAGATTGACAGTTATTTTGTGTTTCTTCCATTTGCGAATAATCGCACCAACTGTTGTCACCTTCTCACCAACTGCTTGGCGATGGTCTTGTAGCCCATTCCAGCCTTGTGTAGGTCTACAATCTTGTCCCTGACATCCTTGGAGAGCTCTTTGGTCTTGGCCATGGTGGAGAGTTTGGAATCTGATTGATTGATTGCTTCTGTGGACAGGTGTCTTTTATACAGGTAACACACTGAGATTAGGAGCACTCCCTTTAAGATTGTGCTCCTAATCTCAGACTGTTACCTGTATAAAAGACACCTGGGAGCCAGAAATCTTTCTGATTGAGAGGGGGTCAAATACTTATTTCCCTCATTAAAATGCAAATCAATATATAACATTTTTGACATGCGTTTTTCTGGATTTTATTGTTGTTATTCTGTCTCTCACTATTCAAATAAACCTACCATTAAAATTATAGACTGATCATTTCTTTGTCAGTGGGCAAACGTACAAAATCAGCAGGGGATCAAATACTGTTTTCCCTCACTGTATACTTGGTTTTATCTGCATTAAGTACCAATTTCAGTTCAACAAAGGCTTTCTGTAAAGCAATGAAGGCAGATTGAAGCTCCGAAAGAGCCTGGTCAACCGTGGGTGCAATAGCATACACAACAGTGTCATCTGCATACAGGTTTATGTTTTTTTTTTTTTTGCAGATAGACCAAAATTATTTATATAGACAGTAAAAAGTACAGGACCTAAAATCGATCCCTGTGGGATACCTTTCGTAATATCAAGGAAACCTGACTTAACACCATCAGACAAAACACATTGAGTCCTTGTCAGTCAAGTAATTTCCTAACCAATTACATGACGCCTGATCCATATTGATTGCAGACAATCTTTGAATCAATAAAGAGTGGTCAACAGTATCGAAAGCCTTCGATAAGTCAATCCATACCCTTAAGCAAATAATTTAACACCAAGGTTGGAGCAGAGATAGTGCTATGACCCGGCCTGAAACCAGACTGGTGAACACTTAGAATACATCTCGTAGCTAGGAAGGATCTAAGTTGACAGTTGATTAATGATTCAAAAAAGTTTGCTAGGCAAGACAATCGTCAGATTAAAAATATGTGTCAGTAGCTAGGTTTCCATCCAATTTGCGACAGATTTTCATGCGAATATTCAAAAATGTGCATAAAACAATATGCACATTTTCCCACCTTTTGCTTTGAAAAATGAGTTTCCATCACATTTTCAACTCTACTGATGGTTTTGTCACAAAAACTGTTGCGTTATATAGCAAATATACCCAGTCTGGTCTTGGCACATGCACTCTAGCCAACAGCTCCCAGATACAGTGCGGGTAGGCTACCTACATTATGAGATTATTATGGATAAGAGCAATATTATTTCTATCTGCCAAACGGCAGCCAAGCATCGATCATTATGTCACCAGAATAATAATAATAATAATATGCCATTTAGCAGACGCTTTTATCCAAAGCGACTTACAGTCATGTGTGCATACATTTTTGTGTATGGGTGGTCCCAGGGATCGAACCCACTACCTTGGCGTTACAAGCGCCGTGCTCTACCAGCTGAGCTACAGAGGACCACAAATATGACCCTCGATATTTATTGGAAAGGAGCATCAAGCTCATCACCTTCACCACCCTGTGAAGTTCATCACAATTTATTTAATCTCTAGCCTAATAAACTGCATGCTTTCCTGATTCGTAGTGGGAACACCACACAACATATCGTTGTGTGACTCCAAGTTACTTCGATATGATGGTTATTATATTAATATTTGCACATAAAGGTGTTTCTACCGCCATTTCTTGCATAATTAATTTTACTGACACAAAACGATCCCACCATGTCGAACGAATTGTACCGGCATCAAAGAGAAAGGAGGACCAAGGCACTCTTCATATAATTAATTTAAATGCCTTTATTTGTATGGCATGTTCAATGGAAACAAAGTTTTAAAACTCTGACGCGTTTCGGCTGCATGGCCTTCGTCAGGGAGTACTGGCATTTCATGTTGCCATCAGCCCGGTCGTGACTTTTTTCATGCGCCAGCTAATTCATCCGCATGAAATGGTTTGATGGAAACCTGGTTAATGACTCCGCAATCAGGGGAGCAGAAGCTGCAGCAAGAAAGGATCAAGAATATCAGCCCCAGTGGATTTTTAAAAAATCTAGTAGAAAGTTTTGTCAGAGTCAGAGATCCCGCTGGTTTCATCCTGACCACGTGTGACCTGCTTTCTTCCCATATGGGTGGATAAGTCATCATAATGATTTTATTACCATACAATGAGACAGATGGGGAGAAGCACAACAACCAAAGCATAAAAATTGTCTCAGTATTCCACGCTCTCATAAATCTGAAAGGTCAGTCAAAATATGATGAATGGCAGAGATCTGCTAAACCACCTCCCATGACCACCTGCCCTCGGGTTACAGTATGTGACCACGGAACTGGGAGAAGAGAAACAACTTTTGGCTACTGGAAAAGGGGGAGTTGGCCGGTGGCAAGCCAGAATGTACATGTAAATAAGCAAATGAAATATGGCAAGCCAGAACCAAAACAAACAAACAACAAGCCTCCCTAATCTGCAGGGCTGCTAGAGCTTTCAGGACAAGAATACAGCACAGCTTTCTATATCTACCGAATGGCTCATGGTGCCTCTAATCACTGAGACCTGTGTTGCATGAAATGAAACTTCCAATGATCTCTCATAGTAATAGAATCATATACTGCTTCTACGCCATCCTACTATTGCATTGCCCTACTTTTAAACTCTCAATTGCCAAACTCTCACCCTTCCCAACTCAATAAGCTCTTTGCAACCATAAAAGTACCCCCTTCCCCTTAAACAATATGAGACTGACCTTTTCCAGCCCCATGCCGTCCAGGTGCAGCTTCTCCATGTAGCGTCCGAAGCTCTGGAAGGCGTTGTCGGGGATGCTCCTAAGGGGGTTCTTGGCCAGGCTCAGTTCCTCCACCACTCTCAGCTTGCTCATGGCCAGGCCAGGGTAGGTGGACAGCCTGTTCCTGTCCAGGTGCAGGATGGCCAGGTTCTCCACGTCGTCCAGAGAGCCCGGCTGCAGCGTGTTCATCTCATTGCCACTCATGTGCAGCCAGCGCAGGTCCTTGGCTCCGGCGAAGGTGCCTGGCTTGATGTCGCGCAGCTTGTTGTCGTTGAGCTGCAGGATGAACAGATTGATCATGGGCGAGAAGATTCCCTTGGGCAGGTCGCTGATGCGGTTGCCATCCAGGTAGAGGTAAGTGAGCTCGGTGAGGTCCTCGAAGGCACCTGGCTTGATGCTGGTGATCTCGTTGTTGGACAGGTAGAGGTAGATGAGCTTCTTGAGTCCCTTGAAGGCCTGGCCGCCAATCTCATGGAGCTGGCAGTGCTGCATGTGCAACGAGATGAGACCCTTGCTGCTGGTGAAGGAGCCGGTGGGCAGGCTGCCCAGGTTGTTCCTCTGCAGGTTGAGCAGACGGGTGGCCTCGGACACCTGCGGGATCTTCTTCAGCCCCACGTTGTCACAGATGACATGCTGCAGGTCCCCATGGCAGTGACACTGAGCCGGGCACTGGCTGGGGGCGCCCCATACAGCCGGGCCTAGGACCAGCAGGCAGGTCACCACCAACACAAAGCTCACACACGGCATGCTGACGTCACTACTCTAAACTTGTGTCTGTCAGTCTCTCCACCTTGTCTGTCTTCTGTCTCTTCTTGAGAGCTTCTTCTCACTGCTTGACAGGCACTAAAAGCTAGAAATTCTTCCAGAAAGTCTCAGGGAGAGCGAAAGAGAGAGCAGAAGGATTCAGAGAGTGAAGGCAAGAGGTGAGAGAGGGGGAGAGAGAGAGTGAGAGTGCACGTGACTGAGAGAAAAGGAGGGCAGTGCAAAAAAGATTCACTTCGGGCTTTGAGAGGAGGACGGCACGGCAGTCAACAGAACACAGCACTATTTATAACATTTATTTAAGGAAAAAAACTGAGAAGGACTCGCCAGGGTGTTACGTGGAGACGGAGGGGCTGCAAGAGGAAGTCAAATGTCTTTGACAGTTTAACCCTGCACATGCAGGAGGACAGGTCGGGATCTTCCACTGACCATAGTCAGTAAATTCTACTAACTTCTGGTTAAACTTTGTAAAAAGCTTTCAGATCATCTGCATGAGACATTTAAGCAAATAGTTTTCATTATTTTCTGTTGCCTGTTATGTTTAGCAGGTAAACGATCTCTAGGTAATACTTGGCCATTTTAGTAATATAAGCAGAACAATTGTGTAAACATTACGCTCACAAGAAGAGCAAAATGTGCTTCCAAATCAAATACCGTGTCTTGGTGGATCAAGCACTTTTGACTGCCAATATAGCAATGGTCTGTATACCTGTACAGGTCACCTCGATTTTTGTTGGGTAGAATAAAATATTTGCCTGAGTGAGTGTGTGAGCGTGCGTGTGTGTGTGTAGTCCGGTGGCAGGTAAGAGGTTAAGGTGGCAGTGTTTAGGGTTCCAGATGTCTCTATTGTTTTCCAGTCTGCGGTCGGAGGAAAAGGAGCCGGCTGTTTTATAACCCATAATCGTCCCCAGATGGTTGGCAAGTGGCTGGACCCCTTTTCAATTCACAACAATTGGAAATTGGTTTCAAATACAGAGGTTCATTACTGCATGCATATTTCCTCTTGTTTTGAAAAGGAGTAAAGTGTTACATAATGGTCTTTGGGGTCACTCACTTTCCAAGTAGAGGACGAGGTTGGGTGTGGCTGAATTGAGTTTCAGCAGATAGGGTGGAGGTTAGAAGTCACATTATTTTTCATGAGCTGTCACTCAGGGGTGTGTGTGGCTCTGAGTGGGCCTCAACCAACCAGATGTGAGACAAAAAGCTTGGTCTTGGCGCTGATCCATTGGCCACTTGAAATTGACCAGGAGAGTGAGAGAAAGTGACAAAGGAAAGGATGGATCAGCTCCTGGGGCACCTTGGCCTCGAGTGGGTGCGTTTATGAATCCAATGGACACTCATGATAAGTGAAATCTTGAGTTTACTCAACAAATCTAGCGTTTTATCGGGAACATCTTTCTCCTGCCTGTCCAAGTGAATTTCTCACTGTCCCCATCCCCAAACAGCTCCTGCAATGCTTCTTTGTTTGCCAGTCATGACCCTACTCAGCCACTCTATCACTACTGGACTTACACCTTACACTTTCGCCCTCAGAAGGATGGGCTCATGTGGCAGCAGATCAATCATCTAGCAAGCGCTTCAAAGGCTGTTACCGATGCTGACTCTCCAAAGGGTCCAGATGCCAAGTCTTAGTCTTCACTTCACTCAATTTACAATTGACCCAGTTAAAATGTGTCAATTTAAAAACAGTTATCAAGAAAAGGTTATCAAGAGGACTCACTCAGTGTAAACAGTGACATCAGTGAAAGGCCACAGCGGGACAGATGTATGGGCAAGATTAACAGAGGGGCAAGGGGGCAGGCACCGTCCTACTGTACAGGTGTGCCAGTTTTCAGAGGGGCACCACATACCTCACTGAGCTCCCATTCCCTGGCCTGCTGACTCACCACCTGCTCCTAGCTGACTGGTTTGGGCCCGGTGTGTGAACTGTGAAGTCCAGCAGAGTTCCAGCGCTGACAGGGAACTCTCCACCAGACAGTAGGCACTGGCAGACAGACATACTTTTCCATGCCCCCTCAGTCACCTTCTCCGACTACCTCTGCAAATAACATCACTTTTGACAGGGTTGTAGATAGTCATGAATAGTGCTGTGGTGATACTGTATGTTTAATTGAGCTAAAACAGTGTGAGTGTGTGGTTTATTATATTTTTTAATGGGAAGACGTCGCCAAGACAGACGAGTGCATCACCAAAGACCACTGGTATAAGGCTGGGTGAGTGGACAGGTCTGGTCCCAGACCACACCCAAATGCTGATGTCTCTACTTTGACTAAAGTGTCATACATGTGTCCTCCTTATACCAATATGCAGTGACATTGCCAGCCTTGACAAATATGGCTACTGAATCAAGCACATGATCATCCGAGGAGGGGAGAACATATACCCAGCTGAGATTGAGCAGTTCCTACACACCCACCTTAAAGTCCAGAAAGCACAGGTTAATTCTTTATCTGTTTGTTTGTATTTGCTTGAACAGAAGCAGAAGGATAGTTTTATAGGGACATCTCATTTTGTCAGTGGCTGTACAGCAAGGACAGCGAATGTTGTTTCTTTCTTGCGCTCTCTCTAAGGCAGCGTTTCCCAAACTCGGTCCTCGGGTCCCCAAGGGGTGCACGTTTTGCTTTTTGCCCTAACACTCCTAACACTACACAGCTGATTCGTATAATCCAACCTTGATGATGGGTATATTTTTTGAATCAGCTGTGTAGTGCTAGGGCAAAAACTCAAAAAACGTGCACAGAGTTTGGGAAACCCTGCTCTAAGATGATAGGGATAAAGGATGAGCGTATGGGAGAGGAGGTGTGCGCCTGCATCAAGCTGAAGGAGAGACAGGATCGCAGTGCTGAGGACATCAAAGCTTACTGCAAGGGAAAGGTGAAATATTTAAATAAAAAGGCCCAGAGGCTTCTTCCTGTGACTAAATACCCCAAAATGTAATGTTTTTCTGTTTCACTTCTTTCCCATATCAGATTGCTCATTTCAAGATCCCACACTGTGACATTTGTGAAGGACTACCTGCTCACCGTTTCAGGAATGGCAATCTCTTAAACCATATAATCTTGCTCAAAGCTCCATATGTTTCTACATAAAAACAAGGGAGACACTGACCAAAGTTTGTTTTTGTTTTTGTTTAAACAATTCTGAAGATATATTCAGGAAATTTAAGTAATCGTCCGAGACAAATTATCTTTGATGAACTGTCGATTGCATTAAATCCTCCATTCCTTGTGGTCCTCAGTCTCTCTCAAGCGACACTTTAAAATCATTTAGAAATGGAGAGTAATTTGAGTAGCCCAGCCCTGCATGTCTCTAGACAGGAGGAAAGTGAAATAAAGCACTTTGCACGCAGCAGTCCTGCTAAACACATTCAGGGGGCGTCACGTTGGAAAAAAACATGAAATATCACACTTCCATAAGTATTCAGACCCTTTACTCAGTGCTTTGTCGAAGAACCTTTGGCAGCGATTGCAGCCTCGAGTCTTCTTGGGTATTACGCTACAAGCTTGGCACACCTGTATTTGGGGAGTTTCTCCCATTCTTCTCTGCAGATCCTCTCAAGCTCTGTCAGGTTGGATTGGAAGCGTCGCTGCACAGCTGTTTTCAGGTCTCTCCAGAGAGGTTTGATCGGGTTCAAGTCCGGGCTCTGGCTGGGCCACACAAGGACATTCATATACTTGTCCCGAAGCCACTCCTGCGTTGTCTTGGCTGTGTGCTTAGGGTCATTGTCCTTTTGAAAGGTGAACCTTCACCCAAGTCTGAGGTGCTGAGCACTCTGGAGCAGGTTTTCATCAAGGATCTCTCTTTACTTTGCTCCATTCATCTTTCCCTCGATCCTGACTAGTCTCCCAGTCCCTGCCGCTGAAAAACATATCCACAGCATGATGCTGCCACCACCATGCTTCACCATAAGGATGGTATTGGCCAGGTGATGAGGGGTGCCTTGTTTCCTCCTGAAGTGACGCTTGGCATTCAGGACAAAGAGTTCAATCTTGGTTTCGTCAGACCAGAGAATCTTTTTTCTCATCGTCTAAGAGTCGTTTAGGTGTCTTTTGGAAAACTCCAAGCGGGCTGTAATGTGCCTTTTACTGAAGAGTGGCTTCCTTCTGGCTACACTACCATAAAGGCCTGATTGGTGGAGTGCTGCAGAGATGGTTGTCCTTCTGGAAGGTTCTCCCATCTCCACAGAGGAACTCTAGAGCTCTATCAGAGTGACCATCGGGTTCTTGGTCACCTTCCTGACCAAGGCCCTTCTCCCCCAATTGCTCAATTTGGCCGGGCAGCCAGCTCTAGGAAGAGTCTTGGTGGTTCCAAACTTCTTCCATTTAAGAATGATGGAGGCCACTGTGTTCTTGGGGACCTTCAATGCTGCATACATTTTTTGGTACCCTTCCCCAGATCTGTGCCTCGACACAATCCTGTCTCGGAGCTCTACAGACAATTCCCTCGACCTCATGGCTTGGTTTTTGCTCTGACATGCACTGTCAATTGTGGGACCTTATATAGACAGGTGTATGCCTTTCCAAATAATGTCCAATCAATTGAATTTACCACAGGTGGACTCCAATCAAGTTGTAGAAACATCTCAAGGATGATCAATGGAAACAGGATGCACCTGAGCTCAATTTCGAGTCTCATAGCAAAGGGTCTGAATACTTATGTAAATAAGGTCTTTCTGTTTTTAAAAATGTATACATTTGCAAAATTTTCTAAAAACTTGTTTTTCGCTTTGTCATTATGAAGTATTGTGTGTAGATTGATGAGGAAAAATGTTTATATAATCCATTTTAGAATAAGGCCGTAACGTAACAAAATGTGGAAAAAGTCAAGGAGTCTGAATACTTTAAGAGTGCACTCTAATTGCTCTCCACACCACAACCTGACTGGAGCTGCAGTCCTGTGTCCATATCACCTAGTAATAGCCTGTGTTGTCCTCTTTAAATGGATGAAGTATTTCCCTGCCTCAGTGTGCAGGGAAATACTACCAG